ATGGAGTGAGAAGAAAAGAGAGAGAATTAAGCAAATAATAGACGTGACATGATAATATACATTTTCCAACTCCCACCAATTCCCCACCTCACTCCTCCATCATGACCTCCCCCTCCTCCCTACCTACATACTCACCATAAGCCTCGCACCTCGCCGCATCCAGCACGCCGGGAAACCAAACGCGCAGTTGCGCCTTCTCTAGGAACCTGGCGAGGAGCTTGTTCTCTTGGGAGAGATCGTGGCCAATGGTGTTCAGCTCGGCCTCGTCGGCGCGGGAGAAGCGTGTGCGCAGCTCCTCCGACGAGTCGGAGAAGAAGGTCTCCTCGGGCGCGAGCGGTTGGTAAGGCGAGTGCTGAGCAAAGAGGCCACGCTCGTAGCCAAATTTGATGGTCTTGTAAACTGCTGTGTCGTAGGTGGCGGCTTGCACGTGTTTGTCCGTTTTGTTGCGGGTGTCGAGGATCGCTTGCCAGCTTGATTCGTGAATATTACTTATTAGCTCCTTTGCGGTGATGATGGCCGGTGGAGGGGAAGGTGGGTATACTTATCGCGGAGAAAACATCTCCTCCAGATAGTCTTTTCCGTGAATTTCCTGCGCTCTAGTGGGAGGCCGCCGAGGCTGAGAGCTCTTAAAGCCCAGTAGAATTCCTCACCCCTTTCCGCTCCGAGCAGTAACGGTGTCCCCTCCTCGTCGCTGTCCGCCAGCGTGAGCAGGTCTGCGAGTTCCTCCACGCCCATCACCTTCCCCTCCACGGCCAGTGCGAAGGCGCGTTTCCAGAGCTCGCGGCAGCCGGCACGCTTCTTACTAGTTAGCGTGCCTCCCGCGTACTTCTCCAGGCCGATCTGCACGGCGCCATCGGTGTCGATGGAGGTCTTCCCGATGACTTTGACAGCTTCGTAGACACGATTTTGTATGTCCACTAGTTCCAATTCGGAGTCAATGTTGCGCACGTTTTGTTCGTCCAAATACCCCATTGCTGCGATTTTGGCTAGTTTTCCGATTGATAGCTCCACCTTCTTGTTCCATTGGTCTTCCTCTTGCTCTGTCGCGACTTCTAGAAGGGTGTCTGCCGCGAGGGTGTACTCGCCGAGTCCTACGTCGTGGATCCAAGAGAGCTTTGCGTATCTCCTGCTGGACCGTAGGAATTTGGTCAGATACGTTTCTCGCCAGTTCTCGAAGCCGTTGAGGAGCTTCTGCAATTGGCCGTTCTCGACAAGGTACTCGTACATCTCTATCGCGTAGATTTCGCCAAACCTGCCAAAGTAGGCTTCCATCCGCTCAATGGTCTGCTTCTTAGTGCGCGCTAGTTCGGCGTTTTCCCTTTCCGCAGCTTCGCGATTGGAAGTGGCGTTGATGTCCTTCTGGGTCGCCTCGATGCGGATGATTTCCTCCGAGCAAAGCTCTACGAGTGTTCGGTAGTCTTGCCATTTCTCTGCGAGCTCGTAGGCTTTCTCCAGCATGCCTAGTTCCGCGAGGGGCTTTATCCACCCGCCGCGTTGCGCTATGTAGCGTTCTTTTATGGTTATGCCCTCTTGCAGGGTGCCCTCGCCGTCTTCGCTTTGCTGCTCGCACCATGAGGAGCGCTCTTCGAAGCCGCGACAGCAGACTTCTGCTAACCCGACTAGCTGCTCGGCGACTCGTTCGATGACTTCTTTGCCTTCGAGGTCTGAAACTAGTCTTGGTCCCCAGAGTGTTTTGATCATGGCGACGCTGACTTCGTGGTGAACGCTTAGGGCTTGTAGAATGTCTGTCCCACTGGTCCATGGAGGTAGCAAGCCGGTAGTTGTATTCATGATCCCGTTCGAATCAACACCGGGCTTGTCAAGTCTATATAATTTGACAGAACGGATTCTGAAATCCCATGCCTTCGTCAACGCCGCAAGGACAATATCATTGGCCTCAGCATCCATTTTGGCCATAGTTACTTTTTCATATCGACCCTTGCTTGTTTTCTCTACCATTGCGTGTTTGGCCTTCGGAATCAGATCTTGAATAAATCCTACGTGTTGCAGGAACCAGGTTCTGATAGGGTCACTGCCGCCGATACTGTCGTCCAAGGCTAATAGCTCAGGGATGATAACCTCGAGGGCTCCTTCATCGCCCTCTTGCCTGTGACGGAGGTGAGTTTCCCGCACGTTCCAGACTGCACGGGCGGCGTGACACTTCTCTGCATCAGTGAGGAGACGCCACATCGTTTTCTTTGGAAGTGGGGGGAAAGTAGCCCGGAGGTGTTCAGCGAGCGCGCGGAGGTGAGCCGCGCGGAGGGAAAGATGGGTGTCGAGTGAGGGAAGGACTGCTGGGAGATATTCTGAGGTTGAGGACAAGATTTCTTGACTGATCTCCAGTGCCGCCTCTTCTATCTCTTCCATTTCGTACTTGATTTCTTTTCGTCCTTGGAAGTTCAATGGATTCTGTAGATTTGTTGTTAGCAGTCACTTCTCAAGATCCATGGGGTCGTGGTTTCCGCATACATCTTCTTTAACACTGTAGAAGACCGCTTGCTCAATCTTGCTCTTCACCTTTACAGGCTCTGTTGGAATCCTCTTTTTGACCGGTTCGATATCAAAGACTTCGAGTCGGACGACACCAGCACCTTTGGCCACAAGCATGACACCGGGGTTTCTGACCTTCTTCCCTGCTCCAGTTGTGCCTGCATCAGATGTGAAGGATCCCATCATATCTGACCGAGGCGCGGAATCAAACATGACATCTTCGGGGCCACTGCCCACTATCTCTACGTTCAAATCCCCCCGAAAGTCAACAACGTCCTCAAAAGTCCCTTCATACCCCGCATTATCATTCATCTCATTATCATCAGCATCTGATTTCTGTGTCGAGACAAGAACAACAGCCCTCGAAAAGACCAGGAAGGCGGTTCTACCAGGCCGTGGAAGATAAAGTCTGGGTCTGGCTTTCCCTTCTTCTAATGGGGTTGTGTAGCATCTGACAACATGGACGTCGCAAACGTCAAGTTTCCCACTTGACAGGAATTTGAGGGAAACCAATACATGCAGTGCACCAGGACTGTTAGGAGTTGGCATAAAAGATGCCAACACAAGTACGTCAACGTTGTGGCTGTCGCCCTCGACCGTGTCATGGTTTTCCCCAACAGCAGCATCAACGATCACAAAAGCATCCTTGCTTCGTAACTGCACCTCTTCTGGAGCCACCTGCTCAATGGCTGAAAGAATATTGTCCCGTAAATCGACGTCAGCATCATTTGCGTAAGTTCCGGAGCGATTTGCTAGCCATCTAGAGAAGTTGCCTCTAGCTGTGGCAACTATTATCTCTCTCTCCCCCATTCTCAGGATTCGCCCAGCGCGAACAGCAACAATATCTCGCCGACTGGAGCCGGCTCTCAACGCCCCTAGAAATCCACCCATCATTCCAGTACCGTAGCCCCTCATAATTGTCACGGCAATCCCGGGCCTCCCGGCCGGATCTCTCAATGCTAGATGTGCTAGCCTCCCTGAGCTCAAAGATAGTATGAACCCTGCTGGTTCGGCATTGCAGACAGCGGTAACGCTTTCTCCAGATATCAAAGGTACTTTGCCTTCCACTCCTCGTCGTTTGGAGAATAATCCTTCAGCGACAGCCGAGCCAACCGAATCCCAATAAGCGGTTCTTCCGCTCAATGGCATAACCACAACTAGACCCGGTTCATCACTATTCGCTGATGGAGAGACCAAGGCGCCGAGCGGAAATGGAGAATTGGCCCCTTGTTCGTCACTAGGCAGCGGAAATGAGAATGTGTGTGGAATAGTGTCGGATGAGGTATATTGCCAAACATAGGCAGCGGTGTGAGAGAGTACGAGGGCATATCCGTTTGATCCCTCGGTGGCGGCAGTAATAGGAGCAGGGTTCGCTATTTCCTAACATTAGCCACCTGAAATGTTAGGGTTGATAGCACATTTGACAAACCCATCTTAAGAGGGGGCGGTAGCGCGGGCAATTTTGATACCCGGAATTTATTGTTTTTAGTCTTGAACAGAGAACGTCAGCGAACAGACCGGTCTCAATAGATAGCCTTTTATACCCAATCTATAGCACCTCCGTCCATATTCTTCCCATCTCCGCGAGCGCTCGCTATCGTCATTACTTTTCCAAATGAAGATAATTCCCTCTCTGTAAAGCTGCCGGAGACTCCCCGTTGTGATATAACTGAACTCTCCCTAACGTTTCGGCTCATCGACGCGTTACTGCCGGATCGTTCCTGGCGATGTTGGGTTCGCGAAGATGGTCGCGATGTTGGCCTTTGTCTCCTTCTCGCAGCAGCAGCCGATTCGACGGATAGATGATTTGACGAAAACATCTTGCCTTTTTCTAACCCTGTTTGAGCAATGATAAAGAAAGAAATGTTGTTAAGGGAGGGGGGAAAAGTGACCGAAAGAGACGAAGATAGAAGTGAAGCTGCCGAAACAGAGAAAGGGAAGCCGCGCCTGTGTATCAGGTCTTAGCGTGAGACTCACGTGACAACAGAAGAAGGGACGAGAGAAGGGTTACGGTAGATTAGTCGTTTTGCTGGTTGAACCGGATTGGTTAGTTGGGGGTGTTTCGTTTCATTGGATGTTTTTTGTCGCTTGAGCTTAGGTTTCAGGGCAGAAAGGCTAATCGCTGCAACCTTTGCACCTCAAGAAAGCATAACCTTGCTATTATATCATACGATAAGCTTCCTATACGGTAGACTACCGGTATTTACAGTAGTGTTGCGATGTTCGGTGATTACTGTAGTTTCTGTACCGGCAGTTACCGCAGCTGCTGCACTTGAGTACTCGAGCAGAGTATGATACAGTCTTCTGTAGGCTCTCCTCAATTCTCTCTATCCATCAGGTAGAGAGATCACGGGATTCTCCCCCTCCATCTCTCTCCGCACCCTTTCCCCCCTAGACTATCCCCTCTCCTCCCTCTCATCCCCACCCAAAATCTCACGCACACACACACTCGCCTGACCATCCACACCATCCACAACTGCACGCCCTTTCTACTCCCAAGCCCACTTCATCTCCGACATCATCCCCACCTCGTCTCGTTGCTGCTTGATCATTGCTTTCTTGTCCCCCCTTCGGATTCCCATTACCGTGGATACCCTTACCGGTTCTCTTCGACAAAATGAGCGTTATCATGGGTATGTCTTTTCTTTTTTACACAAGATCTTCGTCCGATAATCACCTGTCTACCCCCCCTCTCCCCTCCGCCTGGCTTTCCTCTTTCTGGAATGTGTAAAACAATAGTATGGAATAAAAACTGATATCATTCTTTCCGCCTCCTTTATAGCGACAGCGGGGTATGACCATACAATTAGGTACTACCATCTCTTGCCCCCAACTCCCGAGCTATCGTTTCTAACGTTTCCGTGTCTTTAAGGTTTTGGGAGGCCCTCTCCGGGATTTGCTCACGTACTATTCAGCACTCGGACTCGCAAGTAAATCGACTTTGTATTTCACCCGACAAACGCCTTCTCGCAGCGGCAGGCCACACTACAGTCAAACTTTATGACATCAAGTCTACGAACCCGAACCCGTTACTACAGTTTGAGGGGCACTCGAATAACGTGACGGGAGTTGGCTTCCACTGTGAGGGGAAATGGATGGTGACTTCTTCGGAGGATGGTACGGTCAAGATTTGGGATACCCGCGCGGCCAGTGTGCAGAGGAATTACTCTCACGGTAGTCCAGTGAATGATGTAGTCATTCATCCGAACCAGGGAGAGTTGATTTCTTGCGACCAGGCTGGGAACGTTAGAATTTGGGATTTGGGTGAGAATAAGTGCACACACCAGTTGATTCCGGAGGATGACGTTCCAGTAAGAAGTGTTACTGTTGCTACTGATGGAAGCATGCTTGTCGCTGGAAACAACTTGGTATGCCAACCTACTTCTCGTGTGCTTGTGCGCTGTAGGGCCTCTCTTACCCCTGGGTGTCGCTGACAATCAACAATGGAATTCATTCAGGGCAACTGCTACGTCTGGCGTATGATTCAGAACCGAGATGTTACCCAGTTAGTTCCTGTTACCAAGTTCCAGGCGCATACAAAGTACATAACTCGTGTGCTCCTCTCCCCAGATGTGCGACATTTGGCGACTTGCTCAGCGGATCACACTGCAAAAATCTGGAGTGTTGATGAGAAGAAATTTTCGCTAGAGAATACCCTTCATGGCCACCAGCGATGGGTCTGGGATTGTGCATTTAGCGCTGATAGCGCCTATCTTGTTACTGCTTGTAGCGATCATTATGCCAGGCTATGGGAATTGAGCAGGTCTGTTTCTTGGTTCTGGTGGTACCGGTATTGCGGCGAGTTCTTGGCTGACCGATGATAGTCAGCAAATAATCCGTCAGTACAATGGGCATCACCGTGGGGCTGTCTGTGTGGCTCTGAACGACTACAGCGAGAGATAGGAATCTCCCGTCATTAACCGTAAAGACCACCTATTTGACTTGTTCCAAGATCCAAGTGAGCCCCATCGGGTGTGCCAGTCGATTTGCTAGCCTAAGAGTTTGGGGGGTTGGAAATGACCTTTTCCCTATCATGGCTATTAAAACATTCTCTTGTAGTCCAAGTTTTTCTTTTCATTTTTTCTTTCTTGGAGGCGAGCCTTTCTACTTGACGTCTGGGATTAGGTCTAGGGAAGGCGTGTATTTGGCAATGCTCCTGGTTTGATTTTTCTTTGAGTTTTTATTAAACGGTGGAGCATGCGCGCCTGTGGCCTGCTGATTTGGTATCCGTTTTTCTTTTCCGGCGGTATACCTGCTGCTTAGTGTATTATACAATATTTGAAAAAAGCTAGCTCTCTGTAGGGGTTTAATGAATATTGAGGTTGGATGTTGGAGAAGACAAACTTTTATATAGCAAGGCGCCTAGAAGCCGACTACAGCAAGACCTGGATAAACTCGATTATGATACCCTATCAGTGCCGCATTCTGGGCTTGTGCAACGCCGTGGCCAGTTGAACCCTGAAAATCTGTATCCTTGTTCGGGGGAGTCGGAGTTGTCAACCCAGGGTTTTCTCACCTAAACCTTCGAGAATATTGTTGATCGGTTTTGAGAATCTGTGATGCTAGGATGCGCCATGATAATTATCATAGCCCGCTTAGAGCATGAGGCACATTGTAAGCATTGCGAGAACTCCGAAAAAAGCACCCAAGCCCGGAGCGCCCCACATCGAGTGATACTCCATGCCCAGCATTATATTCATACAATAAACCCCGAACACATGGGGCGCCCACATCACCCTCCGAATACGAGCTTTAAATCGCGTAAGACTCCACCAGAACGAACCCACACCAATAAACCGAGTAACTCCTCATTCGGCAAAAACGACAGTCGATTACCCCGGCCACCTTTCTGATGTCCATATCATATCACCCCCGCCTGCCCGCTCCCTCTGAAACCCACTCCACGCAAACACTTCCCCAAACATACGCCGCCTAGGAATAACTGCGAAAACAACAAAGTAATTTGCAACCATGTCCATCTCCCTCCGTGGCAAAAACGTCCTAGTAACCGGCGGCTCCCGTGGGCTAGGAGCCTGCGTAGTCCAGCGCTTCGCAGCGGAAGGCTCAAACGTAGTAATAAATTACGTCTCGGCGGCTGATCGCGCAGAGGCTCTGGCAAAGGAGGTGCGGGAGCAGTATGGGGTTAAGGCGTTGGTGATTTGTGCCGATGTTGGGAGTGATCGGGAGTGCAGGAGGCTTGTGAAAGAGACCGTGGAGGGGTTGGGGGGGTTGGACGTTATTGTCTCTAATGCTGTGGGTTTCTTTTCTCCCGTTGGACAGAGGGCGGAAGTGGGGCTAACGTGGAGGGGGGGGTGTAGGGGTGGACTAAAGTATCTGACTGGAAGGACTTGTATGCTCTAGGGGAGGAGGAGTGGGATAAGGTACTTACTAGTATACCACCCTAGAAGCCGCTATGCTAACGAAAATAGTGCTGGGCGGTGAACGTGAAAGCAAACCTCCACCTTCTCCGTGCAGCACTACCAACGTTCAACGCAAACCCTGACGGTGGATCTCTACTAATTACTTCTTCAATAGCCGTTTTTACCCCCCCCCCCCCCGCTTCTCCCCTCCCTTACTAACATACCCGCCCACCCCAGGGCATACAAACCTTCGGCAGCGCAATGGCATACTCAGTCTCGAAGGCGGCCGGGCTCCACCTTATGCGCTGTTTGGCGTACACCCAAGGACCCAAAATCCGGGTGAACGCGGTCCAACCGGGTCTTCTGATGACAGAGTGGGGGAAGAGTTTCCCTGAAGAGGCAATTGAGAGGACGAAGGAGAGGTCAAAGTTGAAGGTTGCGGTTAGTTCTTTTTCTTATTTTGGGGGTTGGGATGGGAGTAGAGGCTAATGAAGGGATGGGTGGGGTGGAGAGGAATAGCCTACGGTTGAGGAGTGCGCAGATGCGTTTGTGCTTATGGCTAAGAGCTCTAGTATGACGAGTAGTACGCTTAAGATTGGTGAGTCCTCTTGGTAATTTGTGTAGTGGTGGTGGCTGATGGGGGTTTCGTAGATGGGGGGTTGTATACTTAGGTTTGAATGATAGGTTGGATGGAGAGGGGGAGGAGGAAGGGATAATTTCTTATGTCTTCTCTGTATTTTGGAATTTACGTTAAAGGACTTGTTCGGAATAAATTGGCTGCTTCTTTCGCTATCGCATACACGCTATCTGGATCCCAAGGGTATACTTTGCCTGATAGATTCCCTGTTCTCAATGTCATACATAGCGAGTGATCGTCTATGAATTCGGGCATCTCTTTCTTTACAGTACGCAGCGATTGACCAGTTATTTCTTGCTGCCCGCCTCGGGTCGGGCATAACGCCCCGAGCGAGATTATAACAAGACATGGGTATTGTACCCTATCATGGTGCTCTACTGTTATACACTCATCAATATACCGCACTGTGCAGTGCCTGTCCGAATCCTGTTTTATCGTACCTTCTGTCAAATATACCTTTCCCCATCACCGATATCCCGGCCTTGCTTTTCCGGTTGTGCACATAGAGACCTTGCCGTTACCTATCATTCAATAACCGATATTTGCGATCCCCGCTCCTCTCTCTTTTCTCGAATCCAGTTCCAATTCCATCTGCCTGACAGCAGAAGGATAGGTATTTGTTCCAATGGCGGCGCCCTATGGGGACATGACTGGGCTGTCAAGACAGGGGGCCAATAACGCGAGCCCAGGGGTTTCACTGAGTTATTGCAGGATGAGTCACCTATAACAGGAGAGGTATAATATTAGTGGGCTGAAGAGAAGAGCTTGGCTTTGCCCAGTAATCCTGTAGGTTAGAGGGGGATAGCCCTGCTAATACGAGGCGGTGAGATCCCACTGGACTCTGGACAATATGTCATACCTATTGTAGCGATGATGTCGCGGTGGGGGGAAATGGGTGAAAAAAGAAGGGAAGGAAAGGAGAAGTGATTTGCCTGCCCAACTGCGAACGCAGACTCCCTATCATAGTATCACTAGCATCCCCTCGATCTACGCTCGAGCGCGTTGTGAATGTTGAAAGTCTGAGGGAGAACAAGCAAAATCGTGTTGTGATGGAAAATGCTACAGGGGTACAGGTGAGCACGGCATATCAGATCATCAGATCGTCTGACGAGATGGAGCTGATTGCGCACATCTGATTAGACTGCTCAGTACATATTAGGATAGGGGAATGAGTGAGCGAAGAATTTGTCATTGGAGATAGGGCCGTGAGCCACGGGTGGGGCAAGGAGTGGAAGTGGATAGGACATAATTCCTTTCTAGTTGTGGGGTAATCCATCGAACCCTCTTCACACGACATTTCGTAAAAAAAAAATAATAAAAAAAAGTGGTATGATATTATGATAATAATTATGATAACAATGTCATTATCATAATATCATAGCAAGCATAAACCAGTAGATTACCTTGAGGACCACCCTCTGGATAGCAGCCAATATTGCAATCATGAGAAATCACTCATGTCCTTGTCCTGGTCTTAGGGGGGCAACAATAGTTCCTCGAAGGGGATTGTGACGAGTGGGAAAGAGATATTTTGGTATCGCATTTGCATCGCTTTTCTGTTATACTGAACACCACCGGTGTATGTTGGTGGTCGTGTGGCGGTCTCCGGCAGCCAATCTTGAATACCAGTATATGGCTCCATCAACATTCCTGACGTATAGTGCATCAGGAGAAGCCGGGCTCTTTTTCCCCCTGAGCTGGTTTTTCAGTTCCAAATACCTGTCTGAGTATGGGAGGATTTTTTCCTTTTTCACTTTACTCAGGTGTGATCGGAGTTTGTGGGGATTTTTCGGGGGCGGGGGGGGTGGATTGCTCCTGTTACTGTGATATCCTCCTGAGGGAGCTGCGGGGCTTTCGTCCTATCACCGCATACTGGAGCGTAGCTAGTACTTGAGTACTGCCACTTAAGCCAAGCTATAGGCCAGCTGGTAAAGTAACGCATGCCAAGCCACTATTTAGTTCTCTTCTTTTTTAGAACATAGTGAAAAGTGTGTGTAAATCAAGGGATACAATTTTTTCGTGAATACCAGAGCTGGGTTGAGAGTTTCTAGACTGGGAGTCTCCTGCGCTATCGTGGATACAATTGCTGCCTCCTACCAACCTACCTACCTGTCTACCTCTAGGCGCAGTGTGGATCTTGTTCTATTACAATGACATTGTGGAATTAACACCATTTGGATTTGTAGTTCTATCGTTGCATATTTAGCGTCTTCCCACTGCTTGATGTTGAGTAACTTATACTGATAGTAGGGGTGTGTGCGTTGTGGACTACTTATGCATTCTTATCCGTAAATGCTTTCCTTGGATCCCTGCAGACAAGCCGCTTGATTCCTGATGCGGTTCCTTCCCATTTATTCGAGCTTATTTCTTTCTACTCTCTCCCAGACAATCAATCAATCAATCATCTTCTTAACTTGTCTTGTTCTCACAACATAAACCGTAAGGCATTCAACTGTTTGTGACATTTCTTGGGAATCGGGTATGGTTTTTTGCGTTACTCGTATTCTCGATAGTATCCATTGGGCCAGCTGTCTCCCCGATTGGGGATCATTAGAGCCAAATAGAACCGGTGTGTTACCTGTCGCCGTTGGGTGTTATGTGTGGTAGTGTGGTTGCGGGTGATGCTATGGGTAATCTCGTTGAAAAGCTTCACTCGAGGGGGGAGGGCCATTGTCATTTTGTAGAACAATTTAAGGTGAGATCTTCTTTATAGGGTAAAATATATGCTGCTGCCATGGTGTTTAGGATCGGTATACCGCCTTCACTTCGTTCAAGACATTAATTGAGCGCGGTCTGTTCCTACCCAAAGCAACCGCAATCAGTATCTTGATAGTGATGAGTTTACTGTACTGGGTGTTACAGTGTTATTGTTCCTTGTCATCACATATCTTGCTGTGATGTTATCGTTTGTACCGGGATTTCTTTGTTTGCTTGTTTTCCCCTGAGTTTCCCCCCTGTCTGATGACAGGCTTCTCCTCTTCTCGGAGCTGTTTTCTTCTTACTACTCACTAATAAAACCTCTCTATAGGAATTTCCGGCATACTTTTTTCTCCTCTCCTCCTTTCCTTCTCTTCTAGTACCGGCTTATTGACTCTGCTCCAAAATAAGATGTTCTGAGAGCAAGGAAGAATCCAGAGGTCATGTATCTTCTAGGACAGTACATCTTGCTCCCGGATTAGATACACCATATCCTTATGGAATCACTAATATAATGGGGGTAGGTCACGGACTTGATTGCCTCGGCTAACTTAGTAGCCTTCTTTCCCCACTCTCCTTGTCTTCTTCGTGTTGTTCTCTTCGTTGGTATAGTTATTCGAGCTAAGATGGTCGAGGCAGTTTTTTTCTTTTTTCCACCCGCAAACCCCTTGCCTTCGTAAGTGTTCTATCATATCGTACTAAGCATGGGTACGCTGTGCTTACGTGGGAGCACTGGGAGAGCTAATATCTTGACTGTATCATCGCTGGAAAGCCGGGACAGTAGTCGTGCTCCAGGTTTTGCATTTCTCTCAGGCGCTTAAATGGCAAGGGTTACTCGGGGGCAGATAAGTGTGAGGATGGATGGGCTGTTACACTACTTCTACCGATCCTTCAACAACCCCCAAAGAGAAAATAACTCCAGCAATTTTTCTTCCCCCTTCACGATACCATACGGTTTACGGACCGACAAACCAATTATTTGAGAGATCCCAAGAAGCCTCCCCCCAGACTGTCCGGCGACACGCAAATTATCTCCATGGTTACTACCAGGTCCGTGCCCACTGCAGGATTGCCCCGATATTATCATTGATGGTTCATCCTAGTCTATCGAAGTAGCTCGTATAGATAGTACAGGCGGGTATATTATGGTATGGTAATTTACGTTTGGCCGAAACCTTCATTCATTCACTAATTCTCCATGTTCAAAGAGTCAAACCACGTTACGGTACCATATAGCGCCGCAACTACTTGACTACCTCTGGTACCCTCCCCGTCTCCAATTTACTCGCACTTGCTTAAAAGCGTACCAAAACATGTACTATCTTCAACGGGAACGACAAGGGCCAGTGACGAGCAGGGGTATTTGGCAGGCCAAAAAGTGAATCCGTCAAAGTAGGGTAACAAAAAAAAACACCTGTTCCTGATCCCTGTTCGTCACCCGCCAGTTTTCGTGGTGCCCCCGTTGAAGACTATCCCCTACCACAATTATCTCACATCGCATCCATGACGCAAAGTTGTATCTCTATTCCTCCCCCTCCCTTATTATTATCGCCGATGCTTCTGGGTTATCATACCGGTATCAGCTCCGACAACCGGTAACATGTGGGTGTTAAGAATCATAACTAATCACTCGGGCAATAACGCCGCGCCGCGCCGTGTCGGTGATACCACACTAGCGGCGGCGGTAAGACGTGGTGTCTTACTATGAGTTGATTTGTGTTTAATTTGGCACGCATGGTGGTTGGTAGGGTGGTACTAGTATTAGGAAGTGGCCTTGGTCGTGGTAGGTTTTGCTGAGGGGTCAAGTGGGTGATGAGTATGACGAGGAGGGGGAAGGGGTTGGCGGTGGTGGAGTGAGGCCGTGGTTATCATATTCGCCAGGAGGTTCGTGGCTCACCTCGTGATGTTGAAAAAAATTTGATCATCCCCCCAATTAACTTGTGGCCCTCGGGATTTGCTCTCATCGTGGAATGCTTTTGACTCCCGGTGCGGGAGCAGTGCCCCGCGAATACCAGCAGCCGAAGACGTCAGAGCTATTAATTCAACGGTGAAAGTCCTTCCTTCCTTCCATTCACCCTTCTTTACCGCGCCCCTCCCGTGTCGCCCCACCATACCTTCTCGCTAACCAACAGCACCCTTATATTATCAATAGACAGCAGATGCGATTTTCCTATCTTTTTTTTTTTTTTTTTGGAATAAAGAAATTCGCTGATTTCATACCGTACGGGAAATTTCAAGGTTTTTCCTGGAATGCCGCTGACGTCGTCGGCGGGTGGGAGCACAATCTTCGTATTGCGAGAGTGGAGAGCGGGGTATTCACACTGGGGCAATGGAGTACCTGTTCTGCAGGTTATCCTCGTTGGGGTTTGTTTGTCTCGCTCGGCGGGGAAAGCAAGGGCGAGTATCATACAAGTATTAGGTTTGGCTTGGTGGGAAGTTCCGTTGTTGATGTCATTCGGTTGTGCCTGTAGGGGGGTGTATCGATATGATATATATTATGGTAACAGGGTTTTTTTGGGGGGGTAGCGGCCTTTTTCCCCCTCATTTCCGGGAGCGGAACCCCCTTCCCCGCAAGGAGCTTGCTCCTAACAGCTAACATTGTACTTAGCTGGCTGGACATTGCGAGGGTCAGCTCAAGTTATTTTGATGTTTGGATTACTGATAGGGGATTTGTCCAAGTTGATTGCTGGAGCGATTTCACTGGTGGATGTTGCACATGGGTTCCACCCCCAAACACCAAATTGTCTGTCTCGTACAGTAGGTACTGCGGTGTTGTGTGATATTATCGGCACGGCAATCCGCGGAAGAATCGTAAGGGGACCAACGATTGATTCATCGGGAGAACTACGATAGGTTCGATAGAGTCCAGCGCAGAGGTCTAAGATTCTATCAGCCGGGCTCCACCATGTGCCGTAATATGCAAAGCACGTCTCAAAAAATATGATAAGGAAATCGGTGGAAAAAAAAAAAGGTGATCGAACATAGTATAGTGCCATACCTTCTCTGTGGATAACTTAGCGGAGATTCGGCAGGAGAAAGGACGAGAAGAAGAGGAAGAAGGTTTGGACAAGTAACAATAGATATCTTTATCTACTGATTCCGTCAAAGAATGGTATGTGGTGTACCGTACAACAATCCTACTTGTTCTTCTGGCCAATTGATTAATTAGTCCAGCCATTGAGCGAGTGGATACCTCGTACCCCAAGAGGAACCTTCCAGCTGGACTGCCGATAGGCATTCCTGTTCTTTCCGCTTTCACTTTAGATGAGCAGGGGAGGGGGTAGTTGTATGGCAGTGTAATATAACGTACTGCAAATACTAGTGTTTGCGCTTTTCATATGTTCCCACGTGTGAATTGGAGTTGTAGGTGCAGGTGGTCAAACACGATGGCATACCGGTATATTTCCTTTTTTTTTCTCTTAAAATTTTTTAATTGTGTGATATGTTGAGAGGCTGAGAGGGTGGTCTTGAGGGTGGTGATATTATCATAAGTTGAAGGTTTTATAGGGTTGTGTGATTCATTCTTGGCTACGGCTTCGTTGTCAGGATTTATGCGATAATGCGGCAATCATTGTGAAGTTGTAGACGTCCTTTGCCTGCCCCTATGATACTCGGGTTTGGAGGTCGAATTGTCTCCGGAAAGTGACCATACAACTGGGCAACTTATGGAATTGTAAGGGATGAAGTACTGTACCGGTACTGCAGGGAAGTGTCTATGGCAGCTGGTATGATATGTATCGGTATGTAACTCTCTCCAGTGAGCACCTACAAACCGTGCTTCACTCTCTTTCGCACTCTCTATAATTCTACTGACATTGTACTATACTTGCTTTCCTCGGGGAGGAAAGGAAAAGAAAGAGGAAGAAAGAAAGGAAGAAAAAAAAAGTTGTAGGGATGTGAAGTGTAAAGTCATGTATGGATGGTATGGTATATATGCATGTATGTGTGAGATTTTGTGGGTATCTATTTGTACGGCACGCAGGTGCGGTGTGCATCGCACCGATATTAGTTACAGTGATATAATAGGAAGAAGGAAAGAAGTTTTTGTGGAAGTAAGTGGTGGGGGGGGATCCATACCCGGCGCTGTCTCGAGCGGAGAAATAATATGATACCCCCGACAGTTTCTACTGGATGATGTTATGATAGTCACTTCCCCCACAGAGCATCAGGCATATGGGGTCGTAGGGCGGGATGCTTGTATTTTTGGTACGGGTATGATACCAGTAGCAGCTACCGTTCAGTGACCAAAGTTACTGTACTCTAGTACAATATGAGTACCAGTGTCATACTTTCCCCTTTTTCATGAAGAGTCTACTCGAGTAGATTCGTTCTCCAAACCTTTAATCCCTCCCCACCCCTTCTCACTCTATCCATCCATCCTAGAGCCGGACACTCTGGAGTTATCGATTGGATCAAAAATGCTGCTGGTGCCAGCGCCGAGATTTTCTGCTTCTCCTTGCCGATGATTTTCTCCTCCGCTAGGTACTGTGCAGCACCAATCATGAGGAGGGAGGGTGGTGCTTCCACCGCTTCTCGTGCCTCCTTTCCCTTCCTTCCTACGATGAAGACTGGAACAGAAGAAGGGATTGGGTTGGATTGAGTGGCCCATGGTAAAAGACAAAGACAACGACGAAAAAAAAAAAAAAGTACAGCAGATCCCTGCCTGGCTGGCTTCCTCTCCACATCGATTCGACCACCTCCCTCAACTTCCCTGCAACGAATTCAGGGTCCTTCACGCGTGGCAGGTAGAATTCTTTTCGCATCTTGCAGCTCAGCTAGACTAACCTGCACGCAGCGAAGCGAACGAGACAGCAGTGCTCGACACCCACATCATACATGCTATACTTATAAGGCTTTTCTTTTCTTTCTTTCTTTCCTTTTGCGTTAACTTTGGTTCCCATTTCTTCCTTTATATTATTGAGGGTTTTTTTAAAATTTTGATAATACGGTATTTTGTTGCCTTTCTGTGTCTTTCCGTTCTTTCTTTCTTCCTTTCACCTCTCTTGCTCCTTCGTGGAAAGCTGTTCCGATCCTTTGCGTTCTTTTTTTCTTTTGTTTTCCTTTCGTTCCGCTTTGGAAGAGAAGGGAGAGAACTAGAAGAGGTAGAGGAGGAGGGAGAAAGGGGAAGAAGAGACACTATTTTATTTTTTCTTCCCGCTCATCATTACCATCGGGTGTGTGCAACTGCGGTATCGGTATCGGTATCGGTATCTCATTCATACATTAAACCTTTTTTTTTTTTTTTTTTTTTTTTACCTCACTCAAGGGAACGAAGAAAGAAAAGAGACTCCACAAAATATTTCTTTTTCTTTAACGGAAGGAAAAGAAAAAAAACCTTTCTTCCCTTCCAAGACAAAAAGTCGGACAGTGACGGTTTACCCCACACTCTTCAAGAATTCAGTAATACAGTTCCAATATTAGCAATTCAAAGGGTTACTGCTTCTACAATACTACTATTACTACTACTCAAGTACTACTTGGGTACTACTACTACTGCTACTACTTACTTCCCTCCTTCCGCTATTCCATCCCTCCTCCCCCGCCATTTACCCCCCTCTTCCGGAGGGCTCACACAAACACATACACCCGCCTACACCCCTGGCATTTGTATTTCTTGTCGAAACTTTTGCATCCTGTCAAACAGCTACTGTCGTTGCTATTGTTCCATTCCATACCCTCACCTCTCGAGTTGTTCCTTCCGGGACAACAAAAGAGAAAGAATTTCTTATTTATTTTTTATTTATCTTCTACCTATCTATTCTACCATTTTTTAATTTTCTATTCTGTTCTCCAAACAAAATTCTTTGAAAGAAAAAAAAGGGCCTCCCCCTTCACATTACTTGCCCCGCCTAGCGCCACCAAAAAAAGGCGGAAAGGAAAGGAAATTCAGAACGATGCCAGTCCAACCTGGTGGTGGTGGGAAACCACAGAAACCCAACAACGTCTGTCAACAGAACCATCGTCGTGGGATAAGCCCAGACCCGGGTCCCAGCAGAAGCGACAGCAGCAGCAGCAACAACGCCAACAGCAGTAGCGGTAGCTCGATCGCAGCCGTCAATGGGAACACCCACCGGGACGCTTCGGCTTCCTCACCTTTTCCGCCTCCTACCCCTCCTCTAAGTGCTACGACCCCCGCTTCTCCTGCTACCAATTCTACCACCATTGGAACTGCAGCTTCAATCTCCCGCCCGCGCAAGCCCCAGAAGCAGCAACTACCCTCGGTCTCCCGCGACGATCTCAAATACGACATATCACGTCTTCAGCGCGGTGACTGGGTGAACCTGGAAGGGCTAGCTATATGTGCTGCCTCGAGGCTTGGGAAGGAAAAGTGTGTGGGGATAAGCGAGCTAGGTCCGGATATATTTTTTAGAGTTTCTGCTTTCGTTCAAGAATCACATTTCCCCTTTTGGCCGGTCCTACTTGAGCACTGCTCAGCTGTTTTCAAAGTTGCATATACATATAGGGATGGGTGATGGTGGTGAACGGGATGTTGGATGTGATACCGGTATATGTGATGGGATGATGTGGTGGAGGGGAAGAGTACTATATGGGAGTACGGCAGTTAATTTCCGGTCCGTACCTTATGTAACAACCTATATTTATGTTCTGGGAGGGGGGCAGGGAGATTCTTGTTTGACTCTTTCTTCATGTGGCCTTCTCCTTATCTTTTCATTTACACCCCCTTCACCCTTTCCCCCCTTTCCCCTTCCACATCCCTTTCGGTTTCAACAAGATACCCATTGTCAACAAAGACCTGGAATACTTCAATTTAGCTCACTGTTTGTTCCGTGTGTTACTTCACAGGTCGAGGATCACATAACTCACTATACCAGCTCAAGTTTTCGGACTCGACGGTATGCGCCGCTTCAATATCCAATGCCCCACCCAAGTACTTCTATCCGCAGATCAAGCTATCGGAAATAGCAACCATGCAGTACCTCCTCCGGTCCCCACGATACGAGATACCCATCCCAGAGGTGTACGATTGGGACCTCACCTTCGACAACCCGGTAGGGGCTCCATTTGTATTACGGGAAGTGGTGATTGGGAAGAACATGGCGGAGGATGGGCGTTTCTACAGGCTGAAGTCTCAAGACAAGATGAAGGTGATTAGGGAGCTGGCACTCGTGCAAGCGGAACTATCCAAGCCTTCCGAATTCACAAATATTGGGAGTATATATCATCAGGGGGGGGACAAGTCGGAATTCTATGTCGGGGAGCTAATCTCGGCGGCCTGCGGCGAGGATTTTCCAGAAGAGGATGAGGAAGCCATTCCTTCGAAGGGGCCCTACTCGAGCCTTCCGGAGCTATGGCAGGCAAGGTTAGAGCGAGAGACGCTATTGGCTATTCGCAATTGGTCCTCACTCAGCTCAGACTCGTCTATAACCTCATTATCTCCATCGTCAAAAGCAAACCCCCAGCAATTCGGCGAAGTACTGCAGTTGCTGTCTGGTCTCACAAATCTATTCACTCCGCCACAAGAGCTAGCAACGCTATGCATCCATCATTCAGACCTTGCGATCCGGAACGTGTTGTTCGACGAGAAGACACTAAAAATCACAGGCGTGATAGATTGGGAGTTCGCAGCCGTGGTGCCCCTAGTCATTACCGGCCGCTTCCCAAATGACCTAGGCTGGGAAGGCAACGAATTCGCGCGCTCACTCGGCAAGCTGGGGACCACAGCCGAGCAATGGAACCACCACTACTACGATTGGACAAGCCTGGAAGGCGTGACCCCTCCACCAGCGCCCAACGGCGCCACCCCCGAAAGCCCCCTCTCCACAATACCCAATTCATCAGAAGACTACCTCTCGGCGCCAAACACCAGCCCACCAACCCCCCCCTCCCCGGACGGAAAATGCCTCCCACGTTCGAGGCACCCCGAAGAGGCACAAACCCCCACGACCCCAACCCCCCAACAATCATCGGAAATCCCCTCCCCACCATCCCCGCCACTACCCCCACCGCCAAACTCCCAAACGTCGCAGAAGGATCTGGACATCCGCGCCGCGCGCCTCGTGCAGCTCTTCTATCTGCGCAAGTACTACGCCTCGTGCGTCGCCTCGCGCGACTTTGCCCTCACACGCCTGTTTATCGACTCGATAGCGTACGTCAAATTCAACGAGATCGTCATGGGTGGGCATGATAAGTGGTTCTCGGCGATCGAGTGGATACGCGAGGTCTTCTGGAGGCTCAAGACGCTAGGTGAGGACGAGGCGGAATTGGGGGAGAAGCTGAGGAGTGGGAGGGCCGTCGTTATGGTTCCGGAGGTCTTTGCTGGGCGCGCGGATAGGGGGGTGGTGGATTTGGGGGGGTGGGAGGAGAGGTTGAGGAGGAAGAGAGCGGCAGTAGAGAAGAGTTGATGGTGAGGATGAGGAGCAATCTTCCTAACTGGTGCTGCTTCCCGCCTTTGGGTTTGGGGTCTTTCTTTTGCGCCGGTGGGGGAGATTAGATATAATTTCAAGATGGACGCGGGGTGGCACGGAACGAATCCGGATCATCATCACACGAAAGCACAGGAATAGCTTACCGCTACTCCTCTCACCTGACGAACAACCAGCGAAGCGAAAACAAATAGGCTCCCGCACGTGGCCGGCCGGCCGGCCGGCGGGGCGGGCATCAAACTTAATGGCGTTATCCGGAAGTCGCACATCATTTCAAATCCATCTCAACTCCCACCCACTCATCTATCTGCATAATATTCCGAAACCCTTTTTTCTCGCTTATTACTCCTAGGGAGTTTGACTTGTGCTTTTTTGTCTATTCTATTTGTCCCTTTTGATTTCATTATAGAAGAGATGCTTCCCTGCTTTTGGTTGTTCCCTTGAATATCCTCATGTTTTTGCTGTTACTCTTATTTGTTTATTTATTTATTGGCTTTATGGCATTTCACGGCGCTCTTCACGACGTTTTGTAATCACATCTATAATAATATCATGGAGGTCATTTTTTCTTCTTCTCCTTCCGTTCGCTTCACGCTCTCTAGTACCGCAGTCCAAGTACCGGGAAATGTGTTTGAGTAGAGTTGAACACCTAACGTACTGGTCCTACTTTACCTCACGTCACACCTGCTATCCATTGGCCGCGAAACGAGTCAAAGACAAAAGCCGTTTGCGATAGGGTAGCCTGGAGTACCGTACCGTACAGCGCAGTAAACAACGGCCGCCGCATCATCTCGATGGGACGGGGTCTTATTACCCACAGCATCCAAAAAAAAAAAAAAAAAGAATGTTTAGGAACAAAGCTTAAGTACAGGACAAGTATGGAACCAACTCAAGACGATGCGGAAAATCGCGTCGATCACAATATACCCAATTAATCCTTTGCATTGCGATCGATAGATGGATATATAGGCAGACATGATACATCGCCGACCCATCTGACAGCACGAGCAGATTAAAAGCACACATGTACTGTGTACAATGCTATACGCGCCCCGGCCCCCATCCGTCAATCCATCGAAAAACCATACATATTCTACCGGCACTGGAGCTGAAATCGCACAAGTCGGGCGCAGATATGGTGAGGGATGTAGGGTACAGTGCAGTTCAGTGCAGTGCCGTACTGCATCAAAACATGAGCAGTCAATCGAGTGATATAGTGGTATATCAGAATCAGTTTGAAAATATTTATGATACAGCAAGGTGCAATACCAGGGAGGGGTCGGGAGCGATGAAACAACCGTCGCCGAAAACCGTGAGACTGGTTAGATCAAAAGAGGTGGGGATCAAAAGCCGTTAATTTAAAAAATGAGGTATATATTGCCAACGACATCGACCCCATCTACATGGGATCCACAGCCTTGTTTCCCTCCTTGCCCCCAAAAAGTAGTTAGAAGGAGGCGATCAAATAGACAATTTCTTTGACATCCACGATTTCCGCCGCCTCCAAAAAAATAATATAATAATATTATCATAGTTTACCGTGCCCAACCCACCGCCGCCGCCTCCCCATTTCCACGAACGACAATCATAGCTCACCTCACTATTAGAGCAGACACTGTGCTGGTATCATAACGATCAACCCACAAAAAAGTTGACATCAAAAGTGACGTGACGGCCATATTGTACAGTACATCTGCCTCTTCCGAACACTCAAGCCCAACGTGAGCGCGAGCACAGTTCTGTACCCCCCCTCCCACCTCTAATTTACCTGCTTCCTGTGGCCGCTGGCATCGACGTGGCAGCAGCACGAATGCCGACTCTTGGCGCAGATCCACAACAACCAGTCACGTGGGATTCTTAGTCTAGAACGCATAGATTCCGCCGCGGCGCGCCCCGGGGATCTAGATCTCCGATGGGTTCGGATGAATTTTTGATTGGGGCGTTTCCCTCCGGTACCGGCGATGCGCGTTATCTTTGGAAGAAACGTTGCTGATCCCCGGATCATGGAGGGACGAGGTTGGTTGAAATAACATAGATCATGCCTCGCATGTGGCGTTAAGTGCTTTCTGGCACCGAAGTGCTGCATGTTTGTAGAGATCTGGAGGTTTTCTGGGACCCTCTGGGAATATCCAGGTAATTACAGAAGCTATTGATTGTTGACGAGTGCTTCACAATGATGCACTCGGAGTTGGTCTCTGGGAAGCCAGGGACCGGGCGTGGGGACTAGTGCCGGAGCAAGTTGAGATAGCCTATCGTATGATACTTTGTTTTACGATACAATATGCATTGCAACCAGAACAAACATACATAACAGTAAATAAATATGTAAACAAAACCAATACAGTTACTATTTTATCCAAACCTGTTATACTTTTTTATGTAAAAACAATATCAATCTCTAGTCTTCCAGAAAGTTTTGAATTTTAGGATCTCAAATTAGTTTAATTCTTGTCTCTAGAGGGGAATAAAAAAGTAAGTGGTAATGCAATTAACTACCTGGTCTGGAATTTTGACTTCTGTTGTAGTATTATGTTTCCTTTCATAATATTTATTGTATATATATCTCCTCCTCGTTGTGTAAGTGTAAATCCTATTTTTTTCTTCTTTTCCTTTGCTGACCTGTCTTGGCACTTCTGAGCTAGCTCTATAAAATGGGGTCCCTCTACCCTCCTTCTCTTCTTCTTTTTTCCTCATGTTCTCTTCAATTCTTTCTTTCACTCACACATACATCTAACTTAATGTTAGTATTCTCTACCTATACTATAACAGTCTGAGTATTGTTATTAGATAGCATGTCTCTATGGCAGGTTTATAATCACCTTATTTTCCTTCATTTTTGTATTCTATTTACTTCCATATTTTTTTCTTCTGCTTTTCAGTCTATAGTTTTATACTAATCTTTTTATTTTTATTTGAAATACTATAGCAACTATATACCCCACTAAGTGGGTATCTAATTAATTGTGGTGGGTGGGTGGGCAACCTGCCATACAAACTAGAAAACTCTGCAAGGATGGGTGGGAGAGTAACCTGCCACAATACACTGGAAAACCTTTGGAGGATGGGGAATTTGGTTTTTTTTTTTTTAAATTTGTACTAATGTGAGTAGAAGGAGAATGTACTAATATCAATAGGAAAATAATTAATTTATGAAAAAAACAGGTGTGGTATAGGGACAGGTGGAATGGATATAGTTAGGCTAATAGGGGGAAATATCTGGAGGCAAGCTGAAAATAAAATGATTGGTGAGTCAAGACCCCCCTCACTATAGTTTTTGTTTTTGTGAAAAAGCATCTTCTAACAGATAGGGAATCACTATTATATATAGTGGGAAGGAAATACAGATAGGTTGGTGGATGGGAACCAACCAATAGAATAGAAAAAAAATTATATCAGGTAAGTGAAAATCCTCCTAACATAAATAGGTAATATATATATAAATATATATATATATATATATAGGTGGGCTGGTAGGTGAGAAAGCTCTAATACAAGAAGGAGAAAGATCAGTAAGGACATATAACATTATGAGAATTCTGAGGGATATTAAAAGCTCAAGGGATAAAAATATCCAACTCTGACCTATTCCTTGAAGAACAGTGATCACTGAGTAAAAGGATATAATCTGATGAGTTTTTTATTTTTTATTTTTTTTATTTTTTATTTTTGTATAATAGCCGGTTACCCTCCTATTTCGCTGTTGCTCATAGTTGGCAGAAGCAAGTGTGACACCAAAGCAAGTATGACACGACTTTTTTTATATTTTTTTTACGTGATCGTTTATGACTAGGTACAACTGGTGTAGAGAATAATACAAAATGTACAATTTTAATTAATACTGATAAAATCAGCATTTTCAATAATCGAATCAAGGAAAAAAGTAGATAAATCAGAATCACTATCAGATTCATTACTGACAACTTGACCTCAGTCATGACCCTCTAAATCTTCTATTACTTGATGATTGTTTTCAACTTATAGTTTATTAGTATTATTCTTGTTATTTATATTTAAGATATTATGTTTAATAATCAATCTCTACTTACAGTTGTAATCCTATAACCAATAGATGGTTGTTCAAGTAAACATAAAACTTGTAGCAAATCTAGAGAAGGTAGGAGTAATTCAAAATTATTATGAGTTGGATTCTTCTCCAGATTAAGAATCACAATTAATAACTCAGGAGAAATTGTCCCTCCTTGTAATATAATATTTTGAACTTTTTTATGCCGCTTCTCAAGCTTACGTGCTGTGATTACACGATGGTTCAGGGTAACCTTAGCCTTATTTACTGCAATTTGTATGTTCTTCTTTGCTCTTTTGATAGCAGCTGCCTTTTCTCGTTCCTCTTTTTCCTTCTTACTATGTCGTACAGTGTAACGATCCCTCTTTGGATAGTTAGTGCTTGGCGATGGGGAACGATACTTCTCTTCCTGTCTTCTTCTTTCTTTGTGTCTTACGATAGCTCTAGGCCTCTGCCTACGTTACCGATAGTACAAGACTCTTGTCTTCTACCGGGAACGCCTATCGTAAGCTTTCTCTAACTCTTCTTCGTAAAGCGCCTTCCTTGGCATAACGATAACGTTGCAATAAAGATAAAGATCGTAAAGGTATTTTATATTCGTTAAAGTAATAAGTAGGAAAAGTACTTAGAACAAAGCGTGAAGAACCTATCTTCCTCAGCCGCATTGGCCTCCTTATATAGTGTTCTTCCCACCTTTAATCATGTGACCTAAAGTGGTCACATGTGCGAAACTAAATCATAACAAGCTACTCATATGACCAAAGTGATCACATGCTCAAAACCCATGACCTCATAGCGAGATCATATGCGAAACTCATAAACCAATCATAACGCAATAAACAAGTCATATGACTCGACTGAGTCATATGCACAAAACTCATGACATCATAATGAGGTCATGTGCGAAACATAAATCATATGCGCAAGGCTTACCCATAAGGCATACTCATAAGGCATACTTGTCAGGCGCATGTCCCATGACTCATACTTGAGCCATGTGAGAAAGCATCACAAATCCCACACATAACTAATCATATAACCTGAATAGGTCATATGCGTGAAACAATAACATACTTGTAACTCATAACCATGTGTTACGTGAAAACCCTTTTCTCGCTAAGCCACGTTCGTGACATACAGCCTCTACAGTAATTACTCCTCCTTTTTGAATAACTCTTCGAAAGATACAGTTGCAGATTTCCTGCTCCTAGATTCTCTTTTGTACAATTTAATATGTTTGTTCCTCAAGCTGTACTTTAGCAAGAAGAATCTCAATTTCTTCAGATCATTGTTCAAATTGATGCTTTATTTTTAGACTAAATACACTAGTATGATCAACCTATTCTTTAATACCCTGTTGACTTTCAATGTATGTTGAGGGCAAGGTTGGGAGATCCTGTTCTTTCTGTTCATTAAAGGGAGTTTAAGGTGGGTCTCCCATGTTTCCAACAGATTTGTTTGTTATTTGGTTGTAATGGCATATTTTCTTCAATGCCACCTTACAAGAAATTGGAAACATCCCTGAATCTTTAAATGCATTTTTGATT